CGCGCGCACTCCTCCCCCCCCCCCCCGCCGGTCACCCACAGAGCCAGCAGTCCCTTCTCTCTGGTGTGTGTGTGTGTGTGTGGGGTGCACATGATGACACCCCCTCTGGAGGCTTCCAAGGCTGGAGACCTGCCTCTGCCCAGCGACCCTGGAGCTCCTTGGGAGGCCTCCCGTCCAAAGACTAACCACGGCCCGCCCTGCTCAGCTCCCAAGGCCTGAGAAGACCAGGCCAAGGCCAGAGACCTTGAGAGGTGGTTTGCCCAACAGCCTGCCTCTGCGTAGCCACCTGGGACTTCCCTGGTGGTCTCCCGTCCAAGTACGAACCAGGGCCGGCCCTGCTCGGCTAGTTCTGATGAGATCGGGCCAGCCTGGGCCATCGAGCTCAGGGCAAGACACAAACAGAGGTGGCTCCCCGTTGCCTGCCTCTGCGTAGCCACCCTCGGCTCCCTTCGTGGTCTCCCGTCCAAAGACGGACCAGGGGCAGCCCTGCTTAGCTTCCAAGCGCTGACTTGGCCAGGCTAGCCTGGGAGATCCAGGTCAGGGAAGAAGGGGGGGGGGTCTGCCCTCGCCTGCCTCTGCGTAGCGACCCTGGACTCCCCTGGTGGCCTCCCATCCGAGTGCTGACCAGGGCCGACCCTAAGGGGTGCAGGAGCTCATTAGCATAACTTATTAGCATAATTTATTTGCATATGCCACACCCCCTGACATCACCGGAAGTTGTCAGAAGGCAACACCCACCGCTCAGGCTCCACTGGACTGTTTTGGATTGCTAGGGGGGGGGGGGGGGGGGGGGAGGAAGCGGAGCCCCGTGGGAGGCACTCCTGGCCTTTGTCTCTCTCTCTCTCCTTGCAGGACGCGCGGCTGAGCGCCAAGGTGGCCCTGCGCAAGAAGGCCCTGCAGGTCCAGCTGGACCTGAGGAGGTAGGGCAGGCCTGGCCTGGCCTGGGGGGGAGGCGGCGGGGGCAGCGGAGGGCGGAGCAGACAGAGGCGGCCTCTGCTCACGTCCCCCTCCCTCCCTCCTCCCTGCCCCTTTTAGGTTCCGGATCTCCTCCAACCAGTCGGCCCTGGAGTCCCTGGCGGTAAGTGCCGGGAGCCAGAGGGGCGCCGCCCATGAGCTGCCCAGAGAAGACCCCTGGGGGCAAAAGGGACCCTTTCCCCCGGCTGGCCACCCTCTTCTCACCCACCCGCTCTCCCCCCCCCATTTCCCTCCAGCTGATCCCGCTCCAAGGGCCCCTGAAGACCCTGCTGCAGTTGGCCATCATGCCCCTCATTAATGGTAAGAGCCGGCTTCGCGAGGGCCGGGGGGGGGGGGGGGGGGGGGGGGGGGGGAGTGGAACTGGGTAGACAGCCCGGGAAGGGCCCAGGCGGAAGCCCCTCGCTTGACACCGGGCTGGGGGCCCTCTCCCCCCCTCCTTGCTCTCCCTGCAGAAAAGATGTGGGAGGGCGTCCAGGTCCCCCTCCCCGAAGGCATGGACTTCACCAAGGAGGTGGTCACCAACCACATGGTAGGTCGGGGGGGGGCTGGTCCTGCTGGTGCCGTCTCTCAGGGTCAGATGAACCACGAAGCAGACGAAGCAGGTGCTCAGGGCGCCAGGGCCAAAGGGGGCACCACAAAGTTGGGAAAAGGGTGAAAAGCTTAGCTTGTACAGTATATGGTGTTATCATAAGAGAGCCAGTTTGGTGTCATGGTTGAGTGCGCGGACTCTAATCTGGGAGAACCGGGTTTGATTCCCCACTCCTCCACTTGCACCTGGCTGGATGGCCTTGGGCAAGCCGTAGTTCTGTCAGAGCTGTCCTTGAAAAAGAGCCGTTTCTGTCAAGAGCTCTCTCAGCCCCACCGACCTCACAGGGTGTCTGTCTGTTGTGGGGAGGGGAAGGGGAAGGAGTTTGTCAGCCGCTCTGAGACACCTTTGGGTAGTGAAGGGCAGGGTATAAATTCAATCTCTCCAGTTTGGTGTTGTGGTTAAGTGCACAGACTCTAATCTGGGAGAACCGGGTTTGATGCCCCACTCCTCCTCCACTTGCACCTGGCTGGATGGCCTTGGGCAAGCCGAAGTTCTGACAAGAGCTGTCCTTGAAAAAGAGCCAGTTTGGTGTCGTGGTTAAGGGCGTGGACTCTAATCTGGGAGAACCGGGTTTGATTCCCCACTCCTCCTCCACGTGCACCTGGCTGGATTTGTCTATCTGGTCAGACAGGTCAACAGCTAAAATGGACTGGGGGGTCAGTGTGGGAAGGAGCGGGGGGGGCACCAAGATTGGTCAGTCCCTCCCTCCCTCCACAGGGCTACCTGACCATCGAGGCAGACCTCCACTTCTCCAAAGGCCTGAAGGAAGTCATCGAGAAGTACCGGGCAGCGTCCGGCCCCAGGCCGACCCCCCAGGCTGCCTGAGTCCCCCCCCCACTTGCTTTTTACTGAAGGGCAGGGCCCCCCCCCCCAGTCCTGCGCCATCCTGACAGCTCCTCTCTGTTCCAAGGCCAAGGAGGCTGGAAAGCAGCACCAATAAACAGGTCTCCTCTAATGTAGAGGTCATGGGGTCACTCTGACTGGGGGCGGGCTCAGACCTGCAGTGGGAGGAAGCCGTCACAGAGAGCATTTTTCTCAGGAACTTGCAAAAGTCCCGACCAGGCGCAGAAAGACCACAGAACTACCGCTTTTGGTGTGGGCCACCCCCTCCTTCTACCATGTTGCTCAAAGGACTAGGAGGTGGACACAAATGGTGGTGGGTGGAGGGGGAGAGCAGCCAGCGTCCACGGTGTGGAACCCCCCCTCTTCCCATTGTGACAGCCAGCCGGGGTATGCAACAGCACAAAACCAAAACAGGACCCACAGTAAGTAGGAAATACTGAAAACCAGCAAATACCGCGCTACAGACGATTACAAAGTAACGCAAGTAATTTTTGTATATTTTTTCGTTTTTATATTATTTCTCTATATTTCTTATAAATTATTCACCATTATATTATCATATAAACATTAACACATAGAATCATATATCCAAACATCTAAGCATCATCTTTTTATGTACCACAAAAGATATTGCACAACCCCTTTATTAATACCAGTCCTCCTTAATTGTACAAAAGTTTTAAGAGGGAGGACTCCTTTAAGCCTGTTTTGAATAGGTGCTCAGTCTTCTTCCAACAGAGGTCCGGATAGCCTCCCATTTCAGGGTCTTCCTCAGGGAGTTCAACAGGCATTTCCAAGCACGAGGTTGCCAAATACCAAAATATTTATCCAAATTTCACCAATGAACGCTGCAAAAAGGCTCTCTGAGTGAGCTCAAGGCTTCCTCAAAAGTGAAAAGCACATCTGTAGCACGGCATTTGCTGATTTCTGGGGTATGCAACAGAGCTGCATTAGCACCAGTGCCTGAGCTTTGTGCTCCACACACCCCTGACAGGTAGGCTCAGACGTGGATAGAGTTTGGTTAAATGGGAGGGAGGAGTGAGGCCAGCCAGAGACAGCGGGAGTCCTCCCAGGGGGAGTGGCCCAGGCCCCAGCGCTTCAAGGACCCTGCAAAGGGCCCATACTCTTTGAAGAGGGACCCCCCCCCCCAGTGTGTGTGCCAATACAGACTCTAGGGCAGCACCCCTTCCCTCCCTGCAGGTGGGCCAAGCCAGTCTCTCTTGGTGGGAGGGGGGACAGCTTGTGACCAACGGCACATTCCACAGTTGTGCTGCTCAGAGGGGCAGGAGCATCCCCCCATCTCTTCTCTGGGAAGACTCACACTTTCCCACGATGGAATGCGGAACACAACTTGCCCAGGCCAGCCGTGGTGCTAGAAGGAAGAAGGTATCACACCTCCCCCACAGTTCTGGCAGGGTTATGAGCTGGGGGGAGTAGTGGGTTCTGTCCTCCCCCCCCATTATCAGCTTCCCCATTAGGCCCCACGAACACTGAGCGAGGGAACACAAGGTCCTCCGCCACAGCTGCCTTTGACCACCCAAGGACTTCCCTGTAAGTAAATGTACGACAAGAGTGTATTCCACTTGCGAGTTAATGAATTTGGAGCTAAATAATATAGTTGTGTGTCTCCGCCCCCCCCCCCAATGCCAGCCACACCTTTGGCACGTCACAGAATTTGTAAGAGTCCAGCGGGCGATTCTGCGTTGGCTTCTCCCCTCCATTGTTTTACCAAAGGTGCAGCTCAAAACCACATCCAGACCCCTTGGGGCAGAACTTGCTTAACGGAAAAGCCACACAGAAGAAACATCTGATGTTTGAGAGCCTCTAAACATGAATATTACACACGTACGTTTACTAGAAGATGTGGAAATTTGCTTTTTATTAAACATTAAATGAGAGTGCCAAAAATAACAAAAGGGGTAAAAACAGATATTGATAATGATATTTATTTATCCAATGATACTTGTGGGCTGGGGGAGGGGGTTTTTTTGAGAATGCATTTAAAGTTAAAGTTGCTTTCTTTGTCTGTTCTCCTCCACCCCACCCGGGAGGGGATATGTGTGAAAGAGCCGCATGTGGCTCCCAAGCCAGAGTCATCCCTGAAAGACCACAAATACAGAAGGTACCATTAAACCCAGTGATCAAAGAAAATGAAAGTGGCATGCAGTGTGGAGGGTACCATAAAAACCCGATGATCAAAGAAGAAGAGATTGGATTTATACCCAACCCTTTACTACCCCCAAAGGAGTCTCAGAGTGGCTTACAAACTCCTTTCCCTTCCCCTCCCCTCAACAGACACCCTGTGTGGCAGGTGGGGCTGAGAGAGCTCTTGACAGAAATGGCTCTTTTTCAAGAACAGCTGTTGTCAGAACTACGGCTTGCCAGGTGCAAGTGGAGGAGTGGGGAATCAAACCCGGCTCTCCCAGATTAGAGTCCTCTGCGCCCTTAACCACGACACCAAACCGGAAAGTGAAAGTGGCCTGCAATGCAATGCAGAGGGGGATTTCTGTCCCAACGTGGGTTTGGTAAAACAACGGAGGGAAAAGCCAATGTGGAATCGCCCTTTGTCACCTTTAAGACGAACGGAAGCTTAAATCTGGGCACGAGCTTCCGTGTGCGCACAAACGCTTCTCGAAGAACGCTGATGCCCAGAATTAAACTTTGTTGGCCGTCAAGGGGCCTGACTGGACCTGAGCTCTGTTCTGCTGCTGCTGCCCACCTGGAGGTGTCTGAAACGGGAAGAGACCGACCTTCGGGGCTGAAGCCTGACTCAGCGCAGCAGGTGGAGAGGCTGTCCCACAGGCAGAGAAGAAAGGGGCACTCCAGGAAGCGACCACTCCCCTCCCCCTGGCTAAGTGGGGCCTGGAACCAAGGCAGCCTCCCCCCACCTACACCCACACACAGGCTGAACGGAATCCGGAACACAGCAACTTCCTCTTTTTTAGATTTGCCTGGTTCTTCCTTCCCTGGCCACAGATGCACACTCTCTGCCGCCGCCCCCCCCAACCAGGCAGCCCTAGAGAAAGGGGGGGGTACCCTCTGATGCGGGAAGAAGGAGACACAGACTTGCAGTTCCTTAGGAAAAGGGTTTAATTAGCATGCTTTACACCCCCACCGGAGGTCCGCAGACGGGGGGGGGTGCAGTCAAACCCTGGCCCAGCCAGGCTGCCCTTCAACCTTCGATTCAGGTTCCTTTATCGTCTTGAGAGATTGAGAACTCGGGCTAAGCCCCCCCTCCCCCCCCGGCGGAGGCCCCTTCCCCCTGCCCAGAGGCAGTGCAGCAGAAGCAGCAGGGGGGGAGGCGCCCTGCCACGGACACCCCCCGGCCACCAGGGAAGCCCAGGACGCCCGCGGGGCGGAGGCGGGGTCAGTGCAGAGGGCCGCCCCGGCTGGGGAGTGGGAGTGCAGGATCCGGTCTTCGCAGTCACCACACTTTGCCATCACAGCAGCAGCAGCCCCGCTTGGGGGGGGGAGGGAGACGTGAAGCCAAAGCACCCCTGGGCACGCTAGAAGGGCTTCTTGTTGATAAAACGGTCAAACATGTTGAAGGCGGCTCGCGGGGTGTCCGTGGGCACCATATGGCCGGCACCCTGCAAGAGAGGGGGGCACGAAGAGTCACGGGACAGCCACTCCGGAGCACTCCTCGCCTCAGTGGGCCCCCCACCCCCCTCCACTCGGGCCTGGGCTGACTGACCTCCAGGGCCCTGCACGCTGACGGCAGAGCTGCCCACCTGGGTCAGAACGAGAAGTCTGCCTCCACCCTTCCTTACCGAGGAATAGAATCATAGAGCTGGAAGGGACCTCAAGGGCCATCTAGTCCAACCCCATCCACCATGCAGGAAATTCACACCCTCCCCCACCTTCATTCCCAGAAAATGCTCCCCCTCAACCCTCCCGGATCCCCGGCCAAACCGGCCTGGAGAACAATGGCTTCCTGACCCCAAAGGGCCGATCAGCATTTCCCTGGGCGTGTCAGAAAGGACCGCGAGAACTAAGCACTGAAGCCGTAACCCTTCCTGCCCTCCCTCTCGTGATCTGCCCGAGTTCACAGAATCAGCACTGCTGTCAGATGGCCATCCAGCCTCTGTCTGAAAACCTCCCAAGAAGGGGAGCCCACCACCTCCCCAGGAAGCCTGTTCCACTGAGGAACCCGTTCTGCCTGTCAGGATGTTCTTCCTAATGTTTAGCCGAAAATGCTTCTGGTTTCATTTCAACCCGTTGGTTCTGGTTCCGGCCTTCTGGGGCCACAGAAAACAACTCCGCACCATCCTCTACATGACAGCCCTTCAAGTACTGGAAGATGGTTCTCCTATCACCTCTCAGTCGTCTCCTCTCCGGGCTAAACAGACCCGGCTCTTTCAGCCTTTCCTCACAGGAGGAAAAGATCACAAAGGAAGGCACCTGGCTCCAAGAACAACCACCTAGACTGCTTCTGACAGTGGCGGGTCCATTTAACGACCACCACGAACAGGCAGCGTGGGGTCTACTTGGGTGCCTTATCTTGCCCCAAACCATCCAAATAGATGCTGCCTGCCTGTCTTGTGGCAGGGAGTTCTGCCATTAAGCCACCCTGAGTCTGGGGCCCATGAAATCAGGTTTACTGAGGGGTTCAAGCCCCTCGTCCCGTGTCAGAGAAAGCACCCCCGACCCTTTCATCCCATCAAGGTGAATGGGGAACAGGCCGGGAGTACCAACTCACTTCGAGCTCACCTGGCGGGGGGGAGTGTGGGAGAAACCTGGGGCTGGAAGGGACCCCCAAAGGTCATCTGTTCCAACCCTCCGTGGAAGGAAGGGGATTCACAGTCCTCTCCCTCCCCCCCCCCCCACCCTTTGCTGGGCTCCAACACCGTATGGGGAGCTCCAGCCACACAGCATCCCCCCTCTCCCTCAAAAGAGGCCCCCGCTACCTTGATAGTGAGGAATGAGATGCCGGTGAACTCCTTCACAAAGCCTCCAATCTGGTCCTGCCCGCTCTCGTCTGTGTAGATCCAGGGCCGACGACTGACTTCCACCTGGGGGGAAAAGAAGAAGAAGAGAAGAAGAGATTGGATTTATACCCCACCCTTCACTACCCAAGGGAATCCCAGAGCAGCTTACAAACTCCTTTCCCTCCCCCTCTCCACAACAGACAGACACCCTGTGAGGTGGGTGGGGCTGAGAGAGCTCTTGAGAGAAACTGCTCTTTTTCAAGGACAGCTGTGCCAGAGCTTGTGACTGACCCAAGGTCACATCAGCAGGTGCACGTGGAGGAGTGGGGACTCAAACCCGGTTCTCCCAGATCAGAGTCCGCACACTTAAGCCACGACACCAAACTGGCTCTCCAACCAACCCCACCAAACTGGCAAACACCCCCCCCCCCCCCAGCCTTAGATCACCCGGCTACGACTGTGTCCGATTAGCTATGCAGATGCCTCTGAGTTAAGGAACCGGCTGCCCAAGAAAGCAGGTCCTCTGTAGACCAGGCCTTCCGGCCAAGGGAAACCAGACGCAGGGCGGGAGAGGGGTGCGGAAAGGCTGGCCCGGTGCGCCTCCAGTGAGATCTGCTAAAGGGCTGAGCGAGCGGCTCCCCTCCTGCCGCTCACGGCAGGCTGAGAATTAACAGACTCTACGAGGGCTGCAGCTACTCTGGGGCCCAGATCAGACCCACGCTGCCATTTCCAGAGTGGTCTCGGCCCCCTCCCTCGAGGGGCAGCAGCCTGAAACTTGAGCCTCGCCAGCCCCACCCACCCTGATTAACTTGGTATTGAGAGCACTTGAGTGAGGCACACTAGTTCACTCCTTGGCAAGAGACCCTCAGGGGGCTGGCGAGAGCTTCGTGCTGGGTTGAGAAGCAGCAGAGGGGCTCAGAGAGAGGAAGGCAGGTGGGGACGCGACCCCTCTGGGGAGCTCTTGCTTTCGGCAGCTTCGCCTTCACCAGGGTCTTGCAGCCTCCACGAGAACCAGGCAGCTTCAGCAACACAGTTGCGAATACAAGGAGATCGGGGCTTGCTTAAAAAGCGCAGTGGCAGCAGTCGCTGCTCTCCCCCGCCCAATCCCGTGCATGAGTGATTAACACATGGAATTAACTGCCACAGGAAGTGGTGGCGGCTACAAACATGGACGGCTTCAAAAGGGAATTAGATAAGCATGTGGAGCAGAGATCCATCAGTGGCTATTAGCCACAAGGTATAGATAGGAGCTCTCGGTCTGGGGCACATGATGCTCTGTCATCTTGGTGCTTGGGGGGATCAACAGTGGGAGGGCTTCTAATGTCCTGGCCCCACTGCTGGACCTCCTGATGGCACCTGGTATTTCTGGCCGCTGTGTGACACAGAGTGTTGGACTGGATGGGCCATCGGCCTGATCCAACATTGGCGTCTCTTATGTTCTTATGTTAAAGCCGCACAAGCCCACCTTCTGGCCCAAGGAGTTCACGAACCATTCGTCCCCCAGGAAGTTGCAGGCCATGTCCACGTCCCCGTTGTACAGCAAGATGCGGTATTTCTGTGGGAGATTTCGGCCAGTGAGTGGCAGAACCAACCAATGCCCCCCTCCCCTGTGGCACAGAAGTCAAGCCCCCCCCCCATCCCACCCTGGGCAGAGGTGGCTCCTCACCATGGTGCCAAGCAGCTTCAGGTACTGGTCAGTCATCTTGCTGAAGATGCGCTTGTAGCCCCGGCTCACAGCAAAGCTGCACGGAAGGAGGAGGAGGCAGCAGAGTCAGGCCCTCTGAAGCCACTGCCCCCCCCCCCCACACACACACACTCCTGTGCCTGCCCCAGCCTCTCACCTGCACATCTCCCACTCGGGGGCGTCCTGAGCAATGTGCAGGGCCCTGCGCACCTGCTGGTCATTCATGTAGTTGGAGGGAGCGGTGGTGTTGGTGCAGGGGGGGTCCAGCCGCACGCCCTTTTTGCCGACGGGCACCGCAAGCAGGTTCTGGGAAAGAGGAGCGGGGGAAGGAGCGTCCAGCAGTTACGTTCGGTTTCAAGCCTGCCCTTTCTCACCGTCGCCCTCGCCCAAGCTTAGAAGGAGAACCAGGCGTGCGCAGATGGGAAAACCTGGGAGAGCAGACAGCCCGTGGTCGGGCTTGGCCACCGGCCTCCCAACTCTCGCCTGTCGGGTGCAGCCGGCTCCTTGTTGAGCCCTGGATGCCGACGGATGGGAGCGCTGGCGTGGGAACGGCCGCCAGGAACCGCCAAAGGGGCCCCCGGCTCCACAACCAGAGGCCGGTTCTCAGAAATCACAGGAACGGTGGCACTCCTGGAGACGGGGCGCTCTGCCACAGGGAAAGGGCCTTCTAATGCCTCTCCTGCACTTTTCAGCCCAGCCCACCCCCCAACTCCATGGTCCAGTTGTCAAAGCCCTTCTCCCCTATATACTCAGGAGGGGTGGGCATGTGCCCACTGGAGGACAGGAAAGCCACACACACACACACACACCCCTTCGACATGCTCTCACCTGCCTCCAGGAGTAACGGATCGGCTGCCTTATGAAGTTGTTGCCCAGATCGTGGGTGACCAGCTTTTCGTCGTGGTAGCTGGAAGCAAAGCCAAACACCTCCTGAGCTCAACCCTGGGCTGTGGGGCTCTGCTCCTCCCACCCACCCACCCAGCATTGAGGATGTTCAGATTGGGAAGGGACCTCCGGGGTCATCTAGTCCAACCTCCTGCACAAGGCAAGAAAATCCACAAACACCTCCCCCCCCCCTCCACACCCGCAGTGACCCCTGTTCCAGGCCCAGAAGATGACAAAAGACCTCCAGGATTGCTTCTTGACCCCAACATGGCGTGTAAGCAAGGGCCACGGGAACTAAGCCCTGAGGCAACCCTTCCTGCCCTCCCTTCTCCTGATCTGCCTCCGTTCACAGAATCAGCATTGCTGTCAGATGGCCATCTGGCCTCTGTTCAAAAACTTCCACCTCCCAAGGAAGCCTGCTCCACTGAGGAACCACTCTATCTGTCAGGAAGTCCTTCCTGAGGTTGAGCCGAAAACTCTTCTGATTTAATGTCAACCCGTTGGTCCTGGTCCGACCTTCTGGGGCAACAGAAAACAACTCTGCACCCTCCCCTATAGGACAGCCCTTCAGGTACTTGAAGATGCTGATCCTGTCCCCTCTCAGTCGTCTCCTCTCCCAGTCACTCAGACCGCACCCAAGGGAGGCACCTGGCAGACAGCTGGGCGTACCTGTAGCTTCCGGGCACTCCGCCGGCACACGGGGCATAGAGGTTGTAGATATTGAGGCCCGACTCGTCTACGATGCGGATGACCTCTACCATCTGCAGTCAGCCACAAAAAATGGAATACTGGGATCCAGCCCAAACACAGGGAGCCAGGACAGACCCCACCCCACTGAACACACACCACGGCACAGGACGCAAGAGCCTGGCCAAGCCCCAGGGGAGTGGAAGAGAGCCCCCCCCCCTTGAAGCCTGCTACCCTACACTCACAGAGAGAGTGCAATTCAGACTGGAGCTGTCGTGGAAGTTGCATTTCCCCTGGGAGCAGCAGAACTTCTGCAGGTCTGTCCACAGCCTGCGGGGGGAGAGAGACAGCCACATCAGGGTGCAATTCTCTGCCACCCACCCAGGAGCTGGCAGCCGCCATGGCACCGTGCCCCCCCTCCTTCAGGTGCCACTGCCCCCCCCCCCCCCCAGCAAAGCAGGCCCTCACCTGGTGCCCAGGAGGCCGTGGTAGTAGGCAAAGTACACCAGAGAGTTGTCGTTGGTTTCGTAGCAGGAGAGTCCGTTCCCCACCGCCAGTCCCTGGCAAACACAGGACAGCCGTATCAGCACGGGACCCTCACCCCACCCCCCTCCCACAAAGGACCCTGCGATCTCGCCGGAGCCTTCTTGTGCAACTGATCTGGGAGATCACAGATAAGGGCCTCTGTGGCTCACCTCCCCCACGCCAGGGGTGCCTGGCCCCTCCCTGATGCGTGACACGTGATGACCCCACCCCACCCCCCCACACACACGTATGGGGTTTTCAAGGCAAGAGACATTCAGTGGTGGTTTTGCCATGGCCCGTTTCTGTGTTTCTATCCCAGAATCCCCTGGTGGTCTCCCATTCAGTACTAACCAAGGCCAACCCTACATGGCTTCCAAGACTGGCTAGACAGTATTTTTTCCTGCTACAGTATCTCCCCCCCCCCTCCCCCAGCTTAATTTTTGTAATAATAGGAGAGTGAGCAATGGATGTCCTGAGACGTTTATAGAGTGATTCTGCCCTCATCTTTGGCTGCCTGTGACTTCAATCGTTTCTAAAGCCACTCTGAGTCCAGGGTTCCAGCAGAAAAATACCACATCAATATCCTACGAACAAATGCACACCGGGGGGCCAAACTGGGGTGGGTCTTCCATGTCTCACTCCATAACCCACAGCAGGTAGGCAGGCTCTGCATGAGGCCAAGTCATGGTCAGCAGAGCCACAGAGAATAACCTCCCCCACCACACACACGCAAAAAAGGAAAGAATCTATTGTGGCCCTGAATTCCAGACGATCAGGAAGTGCTTTTGCCTATTCTCAGGGTTCTTGCCACGCCCCTGACACCTTCGGGACAGGAAGAAATCTGTTCACTTCCTCCAAACGGCTCGCAGTTCCCGTCCAAAAGCAGCCCTGAGGCTCTG